GAAATTGGCAATCTCGGATGGTGCAAAGTCAGTGAGCTCTGCTAAGGTTGATCAACATCGAGGCAGGAGCCTGTTTGTTGTTGGCAGAGGAGGCCATCTGGCGGCTATGAGAGTGAGAGGGATGTGAAGCCATCGGGATGGATGAGGGATCGTTGTTGGTTGGAAGGAAGAATCGGGTTGCCGAGCTCCTTCGGGCACGGCCGATGCCCATCTTTTCGAAATATTGACTCTGTTCTGAGCCATGACTGCTGCCGCTCTGTTCGGCTATTGATGGCAAACAGTCGTTCCGACGGCTTCGAGTGGATGAGGAGACCCCGCTACTGTTACTACCACTCGAACGGGGACGATGACCGGTGGATGACGAGCTGGTACTCTGACTGAGTTCGTTAGGACGATCAGGAGGAGGGGGTGAGATGGGAGATGATTGTTTAGTGTTTGGGAATGTGAAGGGTTGGGTTGAGTGATTGGATTTGAATCGGTTGTTGTTGTTGTTGTTGTTGTTGTTGTTGTTGGTGTTGTTGTTGGTGTTGTTGTTGTTGTTGTTTGAGTTATTATTGTTATTATTGTCACTGTTGTTATCGTTGTTGTTCTTGTTGTTCTTGAGTGATGCTGGTGAGGAGGATGGGGTGACGTTGGGGGTGTTTTTTACTTTGACGAGACTCTTGATAGGGTAGACTCGCTGGCTGGTTTTAGACATTGGACTGGGGAGAGTTCTTCTGGTCGAAGGGGGTGTGATGAGTTGAGGGTGAGTGTTGGTTGGAATGAGAGGAGAGGTGTTTTGATCTGAGGGCTGATTGGAATCTGAGGCTGAGAAGAATGGATCGGTGTTAGCTTGCGAGCGGGGGTTGGCATCAGGGGTTGATGAGTGGGGGTGCTGTGAGGATGAGAGGGAGTCGAAGGATGAAGGGTTCTTCTTAAGACTGGGGGATTGTTGATCGGGGGATTGAGTGGATGAGTTGGCTTGATCGGATTCTGGATGGTAGTGGTGGTGGTGGTGGTGGTGGAATGAGTCTTGAGAGGAGGTTGAGTCGAGTGATTGGTTTTTTGAGTTGGGGTTAGAGTCGACTGGCGATGGATGGATGGGTTGATGGTGGTGGTTGGGGTGCTGGGGCAGATGGTGCAGTTGGAGGTGATCGAGTAATGGGTAGTGGTCGAATGTGTGTTGGTGATGGTGCTCTCGGATTGACTGCTTGTAGTTGGTTGTCGAGAATGAGGGGGAGATGGGTGAGGGGGAGGTTGAGGTGGGTGGTGATGAGAGGGATGAGTTGGTGGACTGGTTGAGAGGGTGGTTATGGAGAAGGTGTTGTCGGTGTTGGTTGAGTTCGAGTTCTGGTTCGGGATCGAGAGACATAAGGATCAGGAAATGATACAAACTATTGGAGTAATCAAATGGATGAGGATACAGTCATGAGAAGAAGAAGAAGAAGAAGAAGAAGAAGAAGACGAAGAAGAGAGAATGAACGAGAATCCAAGAAGAGGATTGATGATGTCGAAGATCCCGGATAAGAAAAACCCCCGATAAGATCACAATCCCACGGGTGACTCATCACCCAAACTAATTACATAATCAATCAAACCGCCAAAAGAACGGAGCTCCCTGATCTCAGCCACACCTGCTTCCAAGTCCTTTGCTCCACGCCCCCTTCATTTGTTTAGCTCAAGGGTTTTTATTTACACAGTTCTTGTTTTCCTGTTTTTGCCTTTTTACCATGGTTTTTCTTTTCTTTTCAATTATTATTTTTGTTCAATTTGGTTTTTAAATGTTTTTTTGGGGGGGAGGGAGGATTAATTAAAAGTACACCCACTTTAATTCTGCTTTTAAACCGGCCGGGGATTCCCAGCCTTTTCAATTTGGACTAGAGTGTAAAATATATGCTAAAAACCATCCAACATTGGACATTCTTTTTAGGTCTATCAAGAATGCCCCAAAATTTATGTCTATGGGTCTTTGGAAATTCAAAGTACTACATCTAAATTCATCATTGATATATTATTGCCCAATTTTGGGGATATTTATAAGGAATCAAATTTAATTTTTGTTTTGGGGTTCTCAGCTGGTTGGTTTTAATTAGTAATTTGACCCAATTGTATGAAATTATAAGAAGGATCTTGAATAATACCATCTGTATGCAGAGTTTAAAAGAAAGAACAGTGGATGACTTCCCGTCGCGGTTTACAACCCTCCCAGAATTTGATTTACACCCCCAAGATCTTAATTTTTGATATAAAAAAATATTTTTTCATAAGCCTTGGGAAGATGGCTCTCACGTGAGCTGGTTGGAATTATGATTGAGGTGTAAATTTAGGACTGGGGAGTGCTTAAAAAGCACTCTAAATGCGTGAGCTGGTTGGAATTATGATTGAGGTGTAAATTTAGGACTGGGGAGTGCTTAAAAAGCACTCTAAATGGCGACGGGAAGTCCTCCAGTAAAAACTGGACAATTACTTCTTTTGCAGATTTTTGATCTGGCTAAGTTAAAGAAGGGTCATTTTTAGAGGTTTTTTTGGAAATCCCGCAAAAATTCATTAGACAGGCTGGGAAGAACTGGGTTTGAAAGCAGAAAATCAGGTGTGAAAAAACTGAGTGTAAATAACAAAAAATTAGATCCCTCTTTTTCATGTTTGTTTTCATGTTTTTTTCCCTTGTTTTTTCAAGTTTTTTCAAGTTTTTTTTTTCTTTTCTTTTAGTTTTTTTTGTACAGCTAACCCAGGAAAGCTTGCAGGCTCGCGAGCTTGAAAACTACAACCCAAAAAAATCACGACCTCATGCAGGGTCCTGTACATCTTCCAAAGCTTCCGGTTCTTTGGATGTACAGGTTGCAATGTACTGGCCAGCGGCACTGATTGGACCCAACTGGCCCCCCTAGGGGGAAGCTCTGCCACTGCGGGGCCTCGGAATGGAGTGGGAATGGACTGAACTTTCCATCAGGATTCTGATGGTGTTACTCTCACCACCTGAAAGTGAGTGACAAAAAAGATAGCTGATTTGATCAGAGGTGATCCATACATACATGTACCTGTATTCTTCCAAAGCTTCCAGCTGTTGTCAGTAGATTTTTTTATTTTCTGACTTCAGAGCCCGCAAGCTTTCCTGTGTTAGCTGTATGTATTTTTTGTGTATATCTTGCTTTTACTTTTGTTTTCTTTTGAGACCTGATGATTATTATACTCATGCAAGTTGGATTAGATTGAATTTCAGGGACAAGGTGATGAAGGCATTGCCATGTTTGCTATAACCTTGGATGATTTGATGAACTGAGTTGATGACTTGGTAGCAGTCATTACACAGAGGGTTTTGCACCGGGGCAGCCCCGAGGCAGTGTTTGCAAATGATCATCATGTACTGGTCCTCCACCAGGTTACAA